AATGGGTTTAAACTTCAGCAGGGGAAGTTCCCATTAGATATAAGTTCTTTACTGTGAGGGTGGTGAGGCACTGGAATGGGTTACCCAGAGAAGTCGTAAATGCTCCATCCCTGGCAGTGTTCAAGTCCAGGTTGGACAGAGCCTTGGGTGGCACGGCTTAGTGTGAGGTCTTCCTGCCCATGGTAGCAAGGTTAGAACAAGATGATCTTAAGCTCCTTTCCCACCCTAATCATTCTAGGATTCTATGATTCTATGTTTCATGAGAGCCATCTGCATCGAAAACTTTTTTTAAATAACATTGCTTATCTTAAATGCATAAAAAGGAAAAATATCATGCTAATAGTTTAAAAATTTTTACATCTTCAAAAATGGATTTTATAGTTACTCAGTCTTTACCTTACAATTTCAAAATTTTCTCTGAAATCATCAAGGCTAAAAAGTTAATTACTTTTTCAAATGAAAAGCAAGGTTCTCAAGTTATCACATGGGTTTGGGCCCTGAAGAGAAAAACAGTTAAGAAAAACAGACTGTAATTTTGAGTGTAATAATAAAAGAATTGTCAACTCCAATGATCTTAAAAAAAAAAAAAAATAAATAAAATCAAGGAAATGCGCATAGGGATATGAGAAGCCAAGAATGTAATAGAGAAAACAGGAGGGAAACATCAGTGAAAGAATCTTACATAATTTATGGCACTGTGACCTTACTAGGAGTAATCTGAAGAGACAATAAAGCTTATTGCTTTCACACCTGAAACCATAAAAACAATTAAATATATAAACGCTTTCTAGCACACTCAAGTAGTCCGCCTGCAATGATGTGTCTCCGACTTCTGGTTATCAGCTTTGTTAATTTTTAGATATTATTATGGACTAAAGTCCAGCTCACCTCATTTCAATAAAACTTACAAAACTCCACATATATATCTTCTCTTTTTCAAGTGCTAAGGAAATGTAGAGTCTGGCCAAACAGCTATTTGTCCAGTAAGTTTATATCCCACTTTGTATTTAGGGAGTGTAAAGTGTGTGGTAGTCTTGGGTGATGGTATTCCATGAGTGAATAACAGCAGCCTCTGAATCTAGCACTAATAATCACATGATGAAAACACATCAGCCTCTGCAGCTGAGTATTCCGCATTGTGCCCTTCTCGCCCCTGCCACACAGTCTGGTTCTATGTCTTTTCTACCCTTATTCATAATATAAGGGTATAAATATCTGTCCTTACATTTCTTGCCTCATGTATTGAATATACAATCTACATCATGGTTTTCTTGCTGTGTAAGGTACCACGTAATGTATTTCCACAGGGTATTAACCAGCCACATTCAGCAGACTTCACTGGAACGTGAAGTGAATAGACAGTGAATTCACTGGAACAGCTTATTACTGTATTAATTTTTATTTTGTCCTTATCCTAGTCCCAAAACAGCAGCTTTGTTTGCAATGCTTAATATGCCTTTGGAGCACACTTCATTTGCACATGTTTTCCTATCATCTGTTCAAACACACTGATCTGTTCCCTGTGCCTTCCTGCTGCCAAGCTGGCTCAGTGCAATTCTAACTTAATGAAAAGGGCAGAGGGGAAAGCGTGACACAACCTCAACTAGGACATGAGCAATTTTTTAATCATTCTGTTATTAAGACCTGGTTAAAATAGGTACAAGAACCATGCACTAAGGAACTCACTAATTCTGAGAAAAATTACACCTTTTGAAATACTCATGTACTTATCATACTGGTCATCCAGCAGTATGGAGGATGAACATTTGGAAATGGTCATCCAAGAAAAGATGAGGCTTCAGAAAAGAAAAAGGTGGAGAAAAGAAGAAAAAAGAAAGAAAAGGAAAAGATGGAGAAAAAGAAAAAATGGAAAAGATGGAGGCTTCACCCTTTGAGTTAGTACTGATCTGTCTCCAGACCTATCAAATATGTCAAGGTGATGTGGGCAATTTTAGTTTTTGCCTGTCTTTCCTCATCATTAGCATGGTACCAATCTGACTTTAGTTAATATCTGGTCACTAAAAGTTGTCTTGCAACAGAAACAAGAAACAAAACCAACCTAAACCTACAAGTCTGTGAGATTTCTTGCTTTGTTTGCCACCTCTCCATTAATACGTAATTCTTATTCTCACAGGGATATGTTCTTTTCAAACGGTATTTACATTTACTGCACTGTCAGTCACTAGGGATGTCAGACTCACTGGCAATCTTCCATTACAGTTGGCTTATGTAGTCTCACCTTTGTATCAAGAGGTCTTTAATTCAGTATCTACACATTATTACTTACTCAAGTCTAAGAAAATATTGCATTTTTCACATACTTTTAACTTTATTCTTGCCTAATAAGTTCCTTTTATTTTTGTATGCCTCTCTGGTCACAAAAAGTTTCTCTTTAGTCTCATTCTTCTAATACTATCAAGCTTTCTTCTCCTTTGCAACACTACAGCACTAGGTTTTGACAACTCAATAATTTCTCTGCTACTTTAAATGAATTCTAAGTTGCTGCAGTGTGATTTTTCTGTGGTGCATGCCATGGTTAATTGTTGTAATTGTTCTCTTTCTTGTATTATTTATACCCTCACATTACAATGCTGTAATTCTAATAACACTTAAATTAGATCACTATGGGTCACTGATACACCTGCTAAACTGAAAGCTTTAGGTCAAGATTAGAAAGTAAATGGGACCTCTTAGATCATGCTGGCAGTTATAAAACTTGAAAACAGAATCTATCATCTTACCAGAATGTAACTTCCAACACTAACATAACTTTTTTGCTTTTTGCTCTTTTTAAAAAGAAAAATGAGCCATTTTCCCCACTTTAACACTATCGATTGTTCCTTTATAGCCTCCTCTGGCTGGCCATTTCTAATTAGTTTCCTCCAGTGAAGGCTGCAAATGTGCTCTTCATTTGCTATAATTAAGCTTTCATTAACCCATAGACATTTACACAAAATGTGTTGCAGTCTCCTTCCATAAAGATATAAATGGCTTTTTTGGTTTGCTGTAATACCCTTTAGGTAATGATGACAAAGCTGCTGATAACATACTATATAATATGCTGTCTGTATTTCAGTAGCAACTTTAGAACTACATTCAGTAAGGGTTCAAAACACTATGTGCTCCCTGGGAAGACCATCCCCATGCCAATCCCTGCACACTGGGAGCAGTATTTTAACATTTTATTTGCTTATCAAAAACCTGGGTGGGAAGGAAGGGGGAAAACCAAACATTACATTAAGCAATCAAAGTGTAGAAAAACTAGAATTCGTAAAAAAGCTCCAAAGCTAGTTCTCTAAATGGTGCTAAAAACAAACAAACAAAAACAAATAAAAAAACAACCAAAACTGAACAGCAACAACAAAATAGCACCTCAAAAAAACAAACATTAAGAACATTTTTAATAAAAAAAATGATTCTATGAAAACTAAGGAGATAAAATTCATCTCCAAATATTCAGGCTTTGAGTTTTCCACATACACAGTAACAGATGAGGTGCAGTCTCTTCTCTGTAATTTATCCAAGACCAGGTATCATGCCTGTGCTTCAGAAACTGCCTTCCTGGTCAGTTTAGATAAGGCTTTTAATCATTCAAGCTCTGCAGATAATAACAATAGTCTACCTTGCAACGGTTAATCACTGAAAACTGAATTTGCTGGTTTTGTCTAAGTATGAATTCAATAATTTTAACTTTCATGCACTTCATTAAAACAATTTTTACAAATCAAGAATATGCCACAAGGCTCTAATCTCTTTTTGTTTATGCTTTCCTTTTCTATGTACAGGCTGCTCCTTGAATCTATTCATGGTAATTTGCATACAGATTTCTCCATCTTCACAGATGCAAATGACAGCAAGACATTGTATTTTCACTTTTGTATCAAATAATTCTGGCTTTGTAGAATGTCTTGGAAATATAAAATATAATTAGAAACAAAATTTTGTAATAGACAATGAACCAAAATAGAACTGACCAAAAGTTTGTAATGTGAAAATGATCAACACCCCCCCCCCCCCAAAAAAAAAAATAAAAAATAGCATTTTGATAGGTAAGCTTCAAGTCTGTTACACAGCTCTTCATTGCTGCTGGTTTTAGGAAAGTCTCCTCCATGGATTTTCAGTATCAGTTTCTATTTTATGTGTAGGGCTGGAAAAAGGACAGGGAGGTTCCATGGCAATGTAGCAGCTCAAACAAATCAAGTCACACATGCACCTTTCTCCTGGAAAAGATATAGAGGGAAATGCTAGTCCAAAAAAATCTGAAGATTCTCAGTGACTGCCATTATTATTGCCTAAAACCTGCCTCATTCTGTTATGTGATGACTCAAAACCAAATGCGCCCATTCCAACATTATCACCCACTAAGTCATTGCAACTGCATTTTAAAGCAGCTTGATGTCATCTTACAGAAGTAACAAGGATTAAATGTTGCTCAAATTCAGAGGATTTAGAAAATGTTTTGTTACAGCCTGATTGTTTTTTGCTGCACCCAGATCATAGTAATTCTTTGTTTGCAGATTTGCCAGAACTGCTTTTACAGATCTTGCAGTAGGACCAAAATGCAGCAAGAAAGAAATCTGCCTGGGGGAACAGGATGCCTGATATACCTCCATTGTATAAGCATTTTATCCTGCAGTGATCTGACAAATGCTTTGATACTCTTAATTCAAGATTCCAGTGTGCCTGTGACCGATATAGTAGAATGAACTCCTCAACTATAAAGCTCTTATTATTTCCTAGACTAATGTACTGGACACTGGGAAACACAAGATGCCAGAGAAAAAGCAGTTGTTTCATTTTTTTCTAATGCTACAGAATTTCTTTCTTAAATATCACAAGCTTAGCCCACCCCTATATATTCCAGAAGTGCTACAGTAATTTATACTCTGAATGAAAATCCACTGAAAGTTCTTGGGAACTGCTGAAAACTAATAAAGTATTACTGCAATGCATTGGAAATCAGAGAGAGAAAAATACTAATTTATTGGATTTACTGGAGAGCCCCCACTTCAAACAAATTGTATCTTGCAGATAATTTGAATCCCAGTCTGGGCTTGGGGTAAATTTTTACCTTAAATCTCCTGCTTCACACAGAAACAAATGAAAGTCAAGTTTTCAAAAGACTATGTAAAATCTCATGAATGCAACAGGATTTGCATCAAAGCATTATTTTTGTTATATTTCAAGACTGAATTACTTAATACATTTTGAAGATGTTACTCTGCATATGCTTGAGTCTTCCATTGAAATTTATGCTCCTGAAATCTGCTGGGCATTTCTATTATACTCTAACAGAGGAACCCCAGGCTATTGCTTACGTTGTTTCTACATAAACTGAGGTTGTGTTTATGTTTGTAATTCGGTTTGTTGGGTTTTTGTTTTGTTTTGTTTTATTTTTTAATTAGATGTCTACTGCATTAACTGATTGAAGAACGATCTAGGTAAAGCTGCTTTAAAATTCTTTACATAGAAGGATAAATGCATTATAAGAAAAGCAAATCATTTTAATGCGGATTGTATGTTAATTGAAAATCTTTGCCTTTACTATGATAGAACATGCAACAATGACAGAAACTTACAGACTTTCTGCATAGGAATTCCCAAGTTTAAGCACTTAACAGCAAGTCCGTACACAATGATTAAGAGACATTAGTACACATTGGAAAGCAAAACTGCAAAACTCTAATTGTAGTCCCGCAAGACTTTTTATTTTGTATTAATAGTGTTGATTTTTTGTTTTAAATACTCTTATTAAAGGTACAAAGTACTACAGAAATATTCTGATAACATTTTCATAGCCAAAAAGAACAATTTTTGAAGATCTTAGAGTACCAGGATAACTGAGGAAGGCTGCAATTTATGGCTGCAAAGCAGTCTTTCTCTCCAGTTGCAATTAAATAGAATACTCTGTAAAATAAATACTAATTAGAGTTACTGTTTCGTGTTGCTTATCATTTGATGTATTCTTATTTTACTCAACTTATTTACCCAAAACTGAGCTTACCACACCCCCCTCTCCAAAAGAGAGTATAAATCAGAACTGTGCCAGAATTAATTTTAGACATGACAGAATAACTAGCAGTGGAAAAAGAAGCCTCATTTCTAAGAAACAGCCACAGTACTTCTACTCCAGAGGCAGTTTCATGCTACTGTTCTGGGAAGAAACATGCACTTTATAGCATAAAAATAGCATGTTGCTTACAGGTACAGTTGAAAACAAAACAGAGAATGATAAAAGTGATGGAGAAAAGCATTTTCCTAAGAACTTAACAGCTAATTATTTTTCACAGATTAATTCCTCTAAACTTGTCTTTTGTCTGTTTCAGGATGTCCAAATCTTTTTACTGCTCTAACCACCTTTCCTCCTAAATCTATTTTATACATTTGCAGCATGAAATAAGAATCCTGCTCTTCATAAACAGCTCCATCAGATCCTCTCCCCTCCCTCCCTGAGGTGAACTGGTCATATAATGCTGCTCTGTTCTAACTATGCTCCCTACTACATCCTTATTTTAAATCCATATGATAGGCTCTAGCAGGGGTGGGTAAGCCAGAGTAATAGAAGTCAGGACCCCAAAAGATCCTGAATGCCATCAACAATGAGCAAATATGCACGTGCCTGCTGAGGGCTCACTCTTTAGTCCACAGAGTAACCTGTCATTATCAGGATGGGTCAGATGCTAAGGTAAGGTAACAGGACTAGCCAGGAGCACACACCTGTGCCTTAACTGGTGCTTCCCATGTGCCTTCTACCAGTCTCACTTCCCCATTGTGCCTGGGGGGTTCTGTCCTGTGCTGAGGAAGTTGGGGCTGTTCAGCCTGGAGAAGAGAAGGCTGTGTGAAGACCTCATAGCAGCCTTCCAGTATTTGAAGGGGGCCTATAGGGATGCTGGAGAGGGACTCTTCATTAGGGACTGTAGTGACAGGACAAAGGGTAACGGGTTAAAACTTAAACAGGGGAAGTTTAGATTGGATATAAGGAGGAAATTCTTTCCTGTTAGGGTGGTGAGGCACTGGAATGGGTTGCCCAGGGAGGTTGTGAATGCTCCATCCCTGGCAGTGTTCAAGACGAGGTTGGACGAGGCCTTGGGTGATACGATTTAGCGCAAGGTGTCCCTGCCCACGGCAGGGGGGCTGGAACTTGATGATCTTAAGCTCCTTTCCAACCCTAACTATTCTACGATTCTATTCTATGATTCAAAGAAAGCAAAATATTCCAGTCAGGACTGATATCCTCACCCACTTTACTGAAGCGCTATTTAAATATTTTGTGTCATAGAAATGGTCTTCATTACAGGCTATGAGCTTTTTCTAAGAAAAAGGAAACAATCTCACCAAGTTACATATTTAATGAAAGAGAACACTAATTACTGCAACCTCTCTGTCACATTATGTACGCTGCATCTAAGTAGCAGGATCCCTCAAAGCCTTTGCTCTTTAAAATGCAAGCAGAATCCATTTTCAGTCATGTTTACTCCTCTTTATGAAAGAAAAGGGAGCTGATTAATAGATGCATTGGAAAACATTATTCAAATGGCTTTTCCTGCAAGTGACAAGGAACCTGTCGTGGTTTAAACCCAGTCAGGTAATTCGTTTGCTCACTTCCCCCCCCTTTTCTTGCCCTCCCCCTGCTCTCGGAGGGACGGAGAGGAGAATCAAAAAAAATGCAACTCCCACAGGTTGAGATAAGAACAGTTTAGTAACTAAGGTATAACACAAATCACTACTGCTACCACCAGTGATAATAATGATAAAGGAAATAACAAGGGAAGAGAATACATCATCTCACCACCAGCCGACTGATAACTCGGCCCCCCCCAGCCCGACCAAGCTCTGACCGATACCTCCTCCAACCCCGCAGTCTCCCAGCCCTTCCCGCTAACTCCCAGTTACATCCTGGGCATGACGTGCTGTGGTATGGAATACCTCTTTGGTCAGTTTGGGTCAGCTGTCCTGTCTCTGCTTCCTCCTGGCTTCCCCTCCTCCCTGGCAGAGCATGAGGCTCACAAAGTCCTTGGCCAAACCAAAACATCGCTTGTTATCAGCTCTGTTCCCGAGCTGAAAGTCAAAACACTGCACTACACCAGCTACCAAGAAGGGGAAAAATGACTGCTACTGCTGAACCCAGGACAGAACCTCAAAAAGCCTAATGAAAAGAAAGAAAGTGGCAGATTTTGGGGTCAGCTGGAGAGAAGGGAAGAATTTGGCACCTTCCTTTTACAATCATGAGTTTGCATGAGGAGTGTTTGAGAAATGGGACTCCATCTCTATTAACAGGAGTTGAAGTTTCCACTGGTCTCCTCTGCATCTGCCCAAATGGGCTATCCTGACAGGGTAAGCAAATAAAGGCTAAGGTTTTAGCTCTTTATTATGGGTGAAGAACACACCACAATGTGTATACAACAAGATGCTTCCTTGTCTTCCTTCTCACAACATGTGGGATTAATCTCGTGGTATAAGTAAGTCCTGGAAGAAGCCCATACCTGCCTGCTGCATGCTGAGCTGCCAAGTTCTAGGAAGCTGGCTGATGGCAGAAGCAAGTTGCTCAAAGAACAAAGAACTGATTTCATGAAAATGGTGCATCACAGAATCATATAATACCAAGTTGAAAGGGACCTCAAGAATCATCTGATCCAGCCTTTCTTGGCAAAGCATTGTCTTGGACAGATGTCCTAGAATGCTGTCCAGCCGACACTAAAGAATCCACCACTTCCTTGGGAAGATAATACAATGATTTTTCTCACTGTGAAAAAAACCTCCTCTTCTGAACAACTGGAACTTCCCTGGTAGTAACTTGTACCCCTTGTCAGTTCCATGTCGTTCCTTGTAAAAGAAAGGAGTCTCCAAATCTGTATTCCTGTACTGTTTGATTCTCTTGGATCTCTCTGGTATTTTGTATATGAATCTCTATTGACAATTTTGCAGTACCTAGCATATTCCAGATTCCTGGCTGACCCCTGTTGTCACCTACAACTACAAGTGTCCTAGTTCCCTTGCAAGCTCTCACAAACTAGCGAGTTACCTTAGTAAGAAAATAAGATTACAAAATGGGGATGTAAGGGAAGTAAACTCCACCTTGTACTTCCTTCCTGCAATACAGATGTGTTATTGGTACATTCATCATTTCACATTCACCTTGTGGGTTGCTTTCTAATCAACCTCAAACCTCTTGATGGCTCATACTGCCTACAGCTTGACTCTCACTCCATTTCATCATCAGGGAACTTGCTGGATTATTTACGGACTCTGCTACAAGCAAGCAAGCTGAACTAGCAGTACTGTCAACTCAACCAGGTTGAGACCTCTCTAAACAAAAGCCCAGCTACTGAAGAAATCAAGGCATATCCTCTGTGATGCTATCATAAGCTTACTCAAAATAGAGGTTACTAGTTTGGGAGGGAAAAAAAAAAAGCCAACAGAAATGGGACTTTCTATACTTAGCTGGCCATCCTAGAAATGTTCTCACTGTTAGTGACAACAGCTTTGTAATTTACAGGCCATTCTTGCCAAAACAGCTAAAATTCTATAGTAGACTGTAATTCAACACTGGGTGGTACTAACAGATTAAATCTAAAATGCTAATGTAACCCTTGACACTCAGCAGTCTAAGGAAAGCAAAAGGAAGTGCTTCTGGCAGACACAGCTCACAGGAGGGCTGGACAGCAGTTACTTTACAGTCTCACTGACTGCAAATTGGACATGAGTTTCTAGGTGCCTCCTGTACGAAGGAATACCTCTGTCATCTGCTCTATCAGCTGATAAAGACAAAGCCTGAGATACACACCTAACAAATAATTCTTTAATATGGTTCACATGACCTTTTTTTTCCCTTTAACAAATACAGAACACAAACATAACTGAAATAACATAAAGTAACAGTAATATCAGTATTGTGTTACCAAGATTTTAGATTATGTAGGGTTTTTTTCCCGTTTTCACTCTGAGCAATTTACACCTCTATAAAAAGTATTCGCAACATTTCATGCAAATACGATGCTCTACACAATTTAGAATGATGTTTTATCTGTGTATATATAAAACCACAATTAATTAGAAATGCAGCTCAACATCACCATTTACAGTGTATATTCCTTCAATTTTGCATTTCTAGTTAATTTCGTGATATCTTGTCTTTAACTAAAAAACTACATGTACCATTTGCTTTTAAAATAGGTGTGCTTCCAGACTAGACTGAACATACGGACTAATTGTGATTAGTGCAAATAGTTTTTTTTCCAACTCAAACTACACAAAAGGATTAAACTAGGCCTGAAATTGACTTAAAAAGAAAATATTCCAGAAAGGAAAAATATATTCTTTTTCTGAAACATTTTATCTTGACCTGTCTTCCACCTAAGTTAGCACTTACAAAAATATTATTTCCATGGTAACTGTTCTTTTGCTTCATTTTTAGAGATGCTGAGGAACCTCAGCTGCCACCGATATCAAACAAATCTGTGTATGCTTCACACCCATGAAATTCATATTGCATCTATTTTCCAGTACAGGCATTCATTTTTTTTTTCTTTTTCTTTAAATTCAATGCATATTTGCCACTGAAAAGCATTTAGGTGACAATTAAAACTAGATGCATACCTGACAGTTTACAGAGCTGGTAAGTAGAATAAAAACATGCCCAATGCTCAATGAGGTAGTTAGACATATATAAGCTTTGGAGAATGTTTGCTAGAGGGGTATTTACATCTTTCAAGACTAAACAGCTGCAGAAATCTGTCCCAAAATTTTAGAACAGAGATAGATCCTAAACTAAAAACTCAGCACAACTATGTGTTAGCTCACCACCATAAACGTACTTTTTAATACTATGTCCTATTATTTAACTATATAAAGCATGCATTACCACACACACTGAGACTGAATAGTGAAACCAGTAGCTACAATAGACAGGAATTGCATTATAGCATTTCACTTGCAATATAACCCAAACATCCCAAGAGGCTATTACCCTTGTTTATACTTATTCAAGATATTTTATTCTTGAGAAGTGGTTATGGGCTGTAACAGCAGTATTAACTTGGTTCTCATGACACAACAGAATGAATTTCATAAATGAAAGATGAAATATGTATACAGATGTGGATTAAAATTGTAGGTGACTTGCATGGCAGTTCCAATAGATACAAGAAAAGCAAAGCCAAATGCTCATAACCTATGGGAATTAGTTTATCTCTTAGGCAGTTGGCAGAGTATAGATTAGTTTCATTTCTTTGAAAATCCACAGAAAAACTGGGAATAAGAACTTGATCTTATAATGTATTTAAATTCCTATGGAACTTTTGGGCAAGCCTTCTGTTATATGCAGTTCTTAAAAAATTAACTGAAAATCTTTCTCCAAAAAATTAGATTCAAAATAATGATAATAATAATAATAAAATTAAAATAATAATAAAATGTTATTTACTGAATATTTTGTAATATTCATTGCAAAAATCACTCTTCCCATTTTTGGAGGAAGAAAAAAAAAAAAAAGAAAGTAAAAGAGAACTTATTATCAGCCATTTACCCAATCATCTTCCATACCATATTCCACACAAATTCCATAAATATCACAGAAGGACAGACAGCACAGAAAAATGAAAACTTTATTCAGAAACACTGCAGGGTGAGAAAGCCATCACTGAACATGTTTTCTTGAAGGTTTTACTTATGAATTTAGAGTGAAGGATTTTGAGGTGTTTGGGGTTTTTGTTGTGTTTTGGTTTTGGGGGGCTTTTTAAGTGAATGAAGAGATATTGGAAAACAAAATCTCAATGTCTAGAAAATGTTGTATGTAATTTCTGTAGACTAGCACTGTTCTTTCCCTAAATAAAAAAAATTAAAAAAAAAAAAAAAAATCAATAAATTGCACATTATCTTTACCTAGGGTAATTCAGGCTATCATCATGCCTTGTGTGTTAGCAATAGCTGTAAATCTTTTACAACTCTCAAGTAAGAAAAAAAAAAAACAACCATGCCTCATACATACACAGACAAAACTGTGTCAGAAATGGTATTTTTCAGTATCTGAAAATTTACATGCATGTTTTACCAGATAAATCATCATTTCACTGCTTTGTATTGAAATGCCTATGTGCTTCCGTCTACTGCACTATAACAGGATTGTAGACTACCATTTTCCAGCAAACCACCTTCTTTAACCATCTTGCTACAGGAGGTATACGTCTTTCTTGTAACAATTCTGTAACATCCTCCCAGTATTATCATGGCTCATGCACAGTTCTGCAATATCTTAGAAGGACTGGATTTTGTATATATATATATATTATATGTATTATTATAGATAATTATACATATTACACAGTATATATTATACATACATCTCTTCATTTATATAGAGAGATACTTTTAATGTGCTCATTTCTCTCTTCTAATCTTTTATGAATATCCTTAGCTAGAAAATTATATTGGCAAGCATTTTCAAAAAACTGAATAATGTGAATATTACAAAAGGATTCTAATGGTTATCTCTTAATTTTTAATGAAAACAAAGCAGAAAGAACTTAGATCTTTATTTTTCTAATGAATGCCAATAGTAATTGAATTTTGGATATCCAAACAAGATATTAAGAACCCTTATTTTGGTGCAATACCCATAATCCACCCTGAAATCTCAAAAAAAAAATGTATAGTTTTAATTAAACTGCCTGCATATTAACATGCAAGGCACTGAGAGATTTATTCCTCAATTACAGCTAAGTTTTAGAACGTATTCCTCTTCCAGTATTCACAAAAAAAAATATTTTAATTTCATTAGGTATTTTTCTCCAGTACTTTGAGAGGCATTTACCTTAAATTAAGCTGACACGCAAGTAGTTGCATGAAATCACATTACTCTTAGATCACGGTGGACTTCTTCCTCTCCCCCCAGAGCAATCTCTGAAAGACATTTTGACTTGCATAGCAATGTAATGACATTTCTGGTATTTTCCATGGTGTGGAATAACTGATTCATTACAGGTTAAAGACTTCATGTGGTTTCTCTCCCTGCTGTTTCATCCTCCTTGTTTGTCCTCCTTCATTTGAATCAGCGTGATTCATTCTCTCCCTCAAACCTCTTTCTCCCCTCTTGCTCACTCCTCCATCCCTTTTGCTTTTCATCCCTATTCCAATCATCATCTGCTACGTGGGTTTCTATCCAGAAAGCAGAGCTACGACTGCCAAAAGAGCAGTGAGAGGTGGGCTGGAATCATAACAGACAGTAGAGGGTACCTAAATTATAACAAACAACGGTTACAGTACAGTCAAATAATTGATCTGATGTGTGGTTAATCTAGTTATCAATTTCTTCACCCTGCTAGCCTTTGCATCTTATGAAGATTGCTGTCCACTCACCTCTGCTCATATGCTTTCTCCCTAACATCATTTTATAATATAATAAGGATTATACAAAACAAATAAGAAAAGGAAGAAAAGTTAGCATTTAAGATTTTTTAACCTATTACTTTTACAAAATTGGGATGGAGAGCAATCAGTAAAATAAGATGAGAAAACTAGAAGGTAGGGAATAGAGGCAGCAGTCTGACACCATAGCTTGTGGGAGGCTAAAGATAGAGATTTCTTTATCTGGATTGTCAGCAACTACACAGAGAAGGATATTTTAATGGATTAGACCATTAGTGAGCAGCATCTTACATTGGTGGGTATGACTGTAGACATTCTTTGTTAAAAAAGAAGTTTAGGCAGCAGTCAATTCAGAGTACCACATACCAGAAATCAGAGCAGAAACACTGAACAATACAATACAGAATAGAAGCACGTATGCCCTTCAAATTCCCCCTGGAAATCCTCTTTTTATTCTCTAGCTACTTTAAAGATACCTTTAGAAAATGGACTGTAAATTTTTAGAAAAGCCAAGGAAAGTTATACTACTCCATGTACAGGAAGTTAGTGCTGTCATTATCCTTTTCCCTAAAAGCCCTGCTAAAAAACGATGTGTCTCTCTTTCATCCTCTGATAAGGAACAATCATAGAATACTGAGATAATAGAAATACTGTGAGAAACCCATGAGAATATGTACAGCAAAGCGCCACCACTGTCAAGTCTATAGAAATAAAAATATAGATGTTTTGCTAGGTGCTTTAAAATTCTCTCTGAACACACCATTCCCTAGGGGCGAGAATTACATTTGCCAAGCTTACGCTGAAAGATGTTAGATGCAAATTATATTCCTCTATATTTATTGTACTATTTGACCACAGTGTTGAACACCCTGGCTCTGAAACTTATACCACTTACCACACTTTACACCAAAGCACAGAACTGCAGCAATCTGATGAACTCCCATACCTCATTCAATGATGTTCCCCTTACTACAGGAAAAAAATGGTTATTGTCTACCTTGCATTGTAAATACTTGCTATAACTGATATGTGTCTGTCAATTTCATTCATAGAAGCAGTTTGTCTTGCAACTCTTAAGGTAGGAAAGTACTTAATAATTGTAAGAAAAAACCTCCATTTCCATCTCACAATAATGAGAATATGAAATAACAAATTGAAGCAGTTTCCTAAGTAGAAAACACACTTCTGTAGTTCAAATGATGCTATGCTACTTCTTTAAACAGCTGTCCACACAGACACACTAAATCCTATGATGGAATGGACAAATTTAATTGTAATTTAAAATAAGCATGACAGCTGTTACCACAGAATTGTTCCTAAGCTTTCAGGTGATCCTCATAACCATAGTACCATGAAATTCTGCTTCACAATTGCAAATCACAAAAGACATTCACATTAAACTTTTTCTCATTCTCCATGTTTGTAATTAGCTCTATTAAGTCTATAATAGCCACATACAAATAATTCAACAATATACTTGTCACACATCACTGTGATATTAAATACAAGAAAACAGGGTACTCAGGATGTGTTTGTCTTCAGTCCTGCCCTATGCAGAGAACACACAGACCTCCAAGAAGATTGTTTTAAATGAAATGCAAAGTTATAAAGGACTACTTTCAGTAAGCAAATGTTGTCATGAGAAACAAGTAGAATAGGAAAGGGTCCATGTGAAAGAGGCAGTCACTAACAAAAACCTGCAATTTGATCATATCTGCCAGTAACTGGTATTGAATATCACACTCTGCTAGACACACAAAGGCAGCATGCTAGCCTAAACAGTTTTTATTAATAGGTTAACCTGAATATTGCAGACATATCCAAAGCTGTGTCCTCACAATTTTCCTGCGCCTCTGTTGGAGGATAACAAAACTTGTTTTCTGTGACAATACAAATTATCCATGTGCTCATGTTGAGAAAAACTGGCTGAAATACCATTGACCTGCATAGGATTAGTCATATTGTGCTAACACAGACTCACAGATTTGAGAAGGACAATGGGAGGAAGGACTTTAGAGACACACATAAAATCAGCTAACACATTGACATTTTTATACTGGATTAATGAAATGAAATCTGCTCACAGAATTCCAGTTTAGCACACTTCTAGCAGAGCAGAAAAAGTAGGGTTTTTTTAAAGAGAGAAACAAGAATCCTTACTTTTCTGTTGAGTCTTCCATCAAGTCTGCCTATTATGACAAGGTTTTTTAAATACTATGCTCTTGAGTTTTAACCGAGACCTGCAAACTCACTCAAACAGGCCAGGGGAAATCAGAGGATTCTGAGTTTCTCTCTTAACTCCCAGGTGGCAACAATCTAAGAAAAGGGCCCACATAGCTCTCATTGCCTGATTATACCCCGCACCTTTCAGCCTTTAATGAATGTAACCTCCAAATGCCTTTGTAATACCAGGAAGAGCCTATTAGTCTTACCCTGCTATGCTTACAGATTCAGAGGCAGTTAGGCACCTAGCTCTGGAGGGCTTACTGATATCCTAAAACTTCTGCTGTTTTAACTGGGCTGGGAGACTTTCTCATGGAAAATCAGAATGTTACAGCAGTGTAAGGCTTTTTGATGGCTTATGTACTTCAGCTCTCTTCTTCCATAGCAGTTCCACAAATACAGGAATATCAGTGGAAACTGTGAATGTTTCATATCCACACGACCATAACTACAAGGGACATGGCAACCCTCTCCCTTCCTCATTCGTCTTAGTCACATCATTTAACTTCCTTTCTTCATCACTCTAATGTAACTGTGCAGCTCAAGAGAACTTGGATCATAGAGCTAGATGCTGTACAAAATTCTAATTATGCAAATCTCACTCGTATTGACACTGTGTTGGATTTTTTTATTGCTCCATTGTTCTCCCTTTTGGAAGTAATTTATTCTGGACCACATCAGTAGAGTAAGGCTTTATCTCCACTTAGAAATCTGAAAAACAAGCAAGAATTGGGCTAATTGACTTGAACATTATAGAGTTCTGTGACATTTTAATCCACACATTCCTTTGCATGTGTAGGGCTTGGTTTTTCCTTTTATTTTTGTATTCACACCTACATATGTATAGTACAGAGGATCATATGTGCGCTAAACTCTAAGACCTTCTGCTTTTTTACTTTATTTCCTTTCTACTTCAGTCTGAATTCTATTTCCATCTGTTCCTATGGCTGTCAGCCTGCAGACATTCTAAATTTCATGATCACCTGTTCTCAAGTAATCTTCATTTCTCTTAATATTTCTTCTTCCTTTCTCAGAAAAATCTATATGCTTCTGACATCTGTTTCCCGCCATTATCATTTATGAACTCCTAAGCAAAAACCCATTCAGAGATTTTGTCAATGTCAATCTGCTCTGCCAAAATATTACACTTGGCATGTCTGACAGCTTGCAATGTGCTGACCTTCATTGTGTCAATGACTTGAACAATATTTTTGTATTTCACAGCTCTTCTACACACTGACTTCAGCTTTTTTGAAACAACAAAATCACTAATACAATCTCTTAACCATTACTGAGTTGACCACCCTGCACATGAGACAGGAACTAATGTAGTCCTTATTTAGTCAGTGAGAAAATTAGCTGAAACACAATATTGGCTTGACTCAGGTAAGGTATGAAAGCAAAATACCCCTGCCTTTTCATCTGAAAGAGACTGCAACATCTTCTCCCAAGATCACAGCCTGTGATAGTGTGACTAAATTCAGAAGGGACATGTGGACACTTCAAATCCCAGTAGCATTCTCTAGACACTGGATCATTTTTTCAAAACTTACTCTTTTGCTATGTTAGAATTTGAAATGTAAGTTTTCACTCCTGAAAGGAAGCAAGCTACATCATTTATCATGAAAATTACTTGGAAGTGAGAGCATTCACAGTTTTCCAGGAGTACATTACCTTGTACAAAATAAATTAAAAGGTCAATTAAAATATCCACAAAGCAGATAACCTCTGCAGAAAAACAAGATTTGGCCACCTATGTTATTACTGTAAGAATATTCCTAAAATACTATTTGTCAATCAAAATTCCAAACATATAGAGGCACAAATGCCTTCACATTCTCCTACACTTCCATAACCCTGGGATTAAACTGTGCATAAACTATAAGCACTTAATTTGCAACTGTCAGGCTAATGGACATTGAACCACATAACATTTCTCTAACTGGAGGTCTAATTGACTCATAGGAAGTGATATTAAATGATCCCAAGGCATTTGAGCACTGTTGAGGTATACAGCTTTTAACATTAATTTTACCTCTATTCCTATTAGCAGCTGTCCACATTGTTGCCATCTTAAGAAGACATCTTATTTATTTTAAGAAAAAACACTGTTCAATGACTGTCAGGATAAAATAAACATCAATTTTTATAATCTCTATTATATATGCAAAGATTTGACATAGCATTTTTTTACCTTATGTTTATACTGTTGGTAAAGGACAAACTGTACTCATTTTTATTATAGATACTTCATATAGATATTACTGTGAACTTTATCATTTACCATTTGAGATAGCTTTACTGAAAATATCACATACTTAAAGAATGATACTGAGGTTTCTTCCTCTGATATATGTAGGTTGCAATTGCCTCATAGTAGGTATCACAACTTCCTTTGTGTCTTTATCAAACCCGATTGCAGAGTTTGTGGTACTGCTAATAAGCAGTGAAACTAAAATTCAGGACCCTAAGCTTTGTCATTCTCAGTAGATACACCAAGAAAAGGTAAATGGGTGAAATCTACGATTGTTAACTTGCTCTTTCTTTATGTTCTGGCATGTGTGCATATGAGTGAGTAAAAGTGCTAATCAATTAAAACAGCTTTCTGAATCTGGTCACTTACTGTAGTTCCAAACTAGTCTAAAGAAACTGCTAGGAGATGGTTTAGATTACTATTACTCCTATGGACATGGAACATCATCTTTCTCTTGACTTTGCTGTCATGTAACCGTACAGAGATACTACTTTCATAGTTCTTTATGATACCCTCCAGGGTTTGGTTTTGCCTCTTATACTGATATGCTCCAAAAGCAGATTCTGGTAATGTATCCTTCTGGGGATATAGAAAAGTCATTACAGACCCTATATTGAAGGTATCTCATATTATGGTGGTGATTACTCCTATTTAGAGTTAAATGCAAGATGAGTCCCACCCCCTCTAATATGCAAAGTTCAGCACAGGTTTCTCAGCTCTTTTAAACTTTCCTTTTAAGGATCTGGGGACCAAAAGGGAAAAAAAAAAAAAAAAAAGTGAGAAAACAGGACAAAACTTTTTTTTAAAAAAGGTTATTAAAAAAAAAACACAACAGAAATGGCAGAACAATTATTCTCTTCCTGTAGGAAACAATTTCTAATAATGTGCTTTCAGCAGGAACATTGGTTTATCCTTAATTGTTATATGGTATTGAAAAGATCAGATTTACTACAGCTGTCAATTGTTTTAACAGAGCAAAAATTCTCTCTCCCTTTTAAGATGGACTTAAAATGGGGAAATAAACACCAACTGTGGTGCATCTCTGAGTGTGATTTGTAGTTTAACCATCACATTAAATATTTTAATTAAAACTTGGAAAAAAAACCCTGCAGTATTAGTAATTCAGTAGTCATCTTCAGGTTGCCTGCTTTTTTACCTCCTTCCTTCTTCAGTCAGGGGAAATAGTTATCCTGTATTCATGATGGTTTTACTAACATCATTTCCTGAGACTAAAGGAAAGTCTTAATTATCTAACCTTAATTTTAGCTGTTGCTAAAAGATAATCAATTTCATCTTATTAATAAAATAGGTTAACACATTGAGTGTTTCTGAATATTAATACTGTCTTATTTGCATATTCTTTGTGATTAGCAGGTATGTAATAAAAAAATGAAAACAGCACTGGAATGAATGGGGGTGGGAGGAGTGAAGGAAACTGAAAAACTTGAAAAGAATAGTGAATAATACAGGGGAAGAGGAAAGTGCAGCACTTCCTGGGTAAAGGTCTAGAGCACAGCTGCATGCATTTGCTCCTTGCAAATAAATTTATCAAAATACCACCCTGCATTCTGTAAAAATATAACCTTTGCTGTCAGTAGCAGCAATGATACCTCATCAGTCAAAACCCTGGCATTCCAGTCTTAAGCTATCATCATAAAGACATACATGGGTACTGTTTGTCTACATGGAATATACCACAAATATAAGCCATGCATGTTATTATTTTGTAACCATCACCCCAAGAGCTCTAGTTTATGTTTAAACATATTTTATTCCTCTATGGAAACATAATTTAGGTGTCTAACCTGATGCTTCACTTTCATATTTGCTTACCCTCTATGCAGTCTTACAGAGATCAGCATCACAACATAGCTCTGACATTAATGCAATCACAATGTAACCCTCTTCTGGAGTTGTAAAACTGTGTAATCTCACTTCAAATTAAAGGATGGTGTAATATTTCCCCTGTCAATAGGTGGAGTATATCCCTGCTGTTACAAGTGTCTCATCCATACCATTACTTAAAGACAGGTTTTTCAGCTTTTCCCAAACTTCAGTTTTAGTGGTAGACTTGGCAGTCCTGGGGTAACTGCTGGACTTGCTGATCTTTATGGTCTTTTACAACCTAGTTGATTTGATGATTCTATGAAACTTAGCAAAAGTGACCAAACAAGTTTTGCATTATACAACACAAAAATAACAAGTTATTATTACTGGCATGTATACTTGCATATATACCTACATATACACACCCAAAAGACAAAAGCTTTGAGCTGTTGTAATAAATACATTAAAAACAAATACTAAGAGATGCCTTCTATTCAAAAAACTTTGTTTGCATTGTATGACACATTTGTTTTTTGAGAGCTGAGCATAATGAATGCTTTTTCATGTCTGAGAATATCCATAAAAATTGAACATTCCATAGGCAATTCCTGGTTTAATGCTTCGCTTAATAAATCAATAAATGGAGTAGGACAGCTCAGCTAGGTATGACTTCAGTATTTCTCTTGCCTTTGAATTACATTTCATACACATGCAATATTTTTCTCCCTCCTATACTTTCCTCCACCTGTAGAACTCAATTTTCAAGTTCCAATGGTTTCATCACAGAAACCAATAGAGCCTTGACAATAAGATTTTATTAACCTTTATTGTTCTAAAGGCTACATCTGAAATTAAATTCCACAGTGTTAACTGTCAAAGGTTAAAAAAGTGATTGCTGCTTCTAATGAATACCTGAAAGATACTCAGTTGTATTTTCCCTTAATACACCCAATAGTGAAGGAAAATACAGGCTTACAATAACTGGAAGCAGAAGACTAAAAACAAAATAAAACAATCCATGGTGCAATCATTTTTTCATTCTCTCAAAAACTAGATCTTAATTTAAGGGGGAAACTTTCATAGTTAATTAATTACGTTTGTCTTGCCTTCTTTTGCCTACTCTATTTATGTATGTTTTGTTACTAGTTTACATATTTAAAACTAAATAGCAGACTTGCATTTTGTTGTGGAGCAGAGGTACAACATACTTCCTGCATTATCATTGAACCACACTGAACTCCCATGGAAAGCAGAGGACAGTCACTTGTTTTACAAAGCAGCAACTGAATGG